ATTCAAGTCCCTATTGTAAGCGTATCACGTCACGTCAAGGGGAAGCTCGGTCGGATTCGTTAAGTGTTTAACAACTTGTGCCGCATTACAATAAGTACCTACAAACCCATTGGTATTAATCGTTTTATGAATCAGACAATTGTTGAGACGACGATCAAAGTATCAGACCGAAGACAATAATTATTATGACGAAGTGAAATATATTATATTGAGCATTGTTAAAAATGTACGAAATCAGCATTTTATACGAGTATATAAAATAATATGATATGTGTATGTACTCATTTTTAAATAATTAATATTTGTTTTCAAATAACTACGTGACATTGTAACACAAAACTATTGATTTATAATCGATTTTTATTATTTGCGTTTTAAATAAACAGAATGCAAAACATCGAATCGGATAATTGTGTTTATCAGTTACAATATGTACACAATGAAAAAGGAAGTTATCGGTGCCAGTGTGTGCTACTGCTAGGGCGTTTTTTTTTGTTTTACGTATTTACCGACGGAGTTACAGGACGTTGCGTTATAGGATAGGATAAGAGAAAATAGTTTCAAAACATTCTAAAAATAAATCGAGTGTAAAATATAATATCTCCATCGATTATGTTGAATACAATATTCTAATTTATAACCATATACACCATATTTATTTTTTTTATCTATATTTAAAATCAATTATTTTATTATAATTTATATAGTAAATACTAAATGAATATAAGTTATGATTAAATAACAATTTCTTATTACCTAAAACCTAACACTATTAAATCAACATCGTATTAAAATTTCTTATTTTTAACATTAAAAAAATCTATCCAACAATACGTGATACCATCACTATTAATTTGATAGTTTATTAATTTTAAACAGCCGTGAGCGGAAATAATTAGTACTAACCATATTCCTAAATAGTGTACAGAATTAACGATAGTAACTAATATTGTCTAAATAATATTGCAGAATGATTTTCAATTATTTATTTTAGAACAGTAAAGTTTTATAAGCATGAAATATTTCTCACAATAAATAAAATAATAGAAAACCTCTAGATTGTAATATTGTAGAATGATCCGATGATACCTACTAAATAATATGCAATTTCACAAGATAATTATTTTTTAAATTAAAACTATTTTTTATAACGAACGCCTTGAAATCTATGTGATACATTTTATAAGACATCCATATATTTTGCAGCAAAAACGCCTAACTTGTATGATTGATAAACCAGTTGGTCTAAAAACTAAACATATAAATATACGAATTCATATTAATTGCACGACGAGGACAAAGATAAATTAATAAATTAAATAAATTAGTTTTCAATTATTAAACTCCTGGTTATAATTTAAATACAAGTATATAACAATAGTGAATAGATCAATAAAATGACTACCTACTTACTATATCTAGTTTTCTGAAAAAAAATTGTAATATAATATATTATATAAATATAAATATAATTATATAAGTACTTTTAAATATTAAAGAAGTGTCAATGTTTGGTATATATTTTTTAATGCCAATTATTTGTTTAAACTAACACTTACTTAATATTGACGTATTCGTTGATCAATATTTTAATACCTACCTAAATAACTATTTGTCTAGTATTTATACTATTATTATTATTGAATATAAGATTTTTTAATTAATTTTGTATTTAATATAAATAGTGTAACTCTGGTGTATATTTTTTATTTTGTTATTTTGTTTTTAATATATTTTAAATCCTTATCAATTGAAAGTAAAGCTAACTTAAACTAACATAAAAATAACTTGAAGATACGGTGACTAAACTCTAAAGGAAAAACAATAACCTTTTAGCGTTAGAAGAATATTACGCATATTGCGGTAATTGATTATTATGGTATATAGAGAGGACGTAAAGGAGGACAAGAAGGGTAGGTAAGTATACTATACAAAGACCTCAAAAAAACTCTATTTTATACCTGTGTTGTATACTTGTATACAAGGGCAGTAATTTTGGAGAACGGTAAACTCCTGCAAATGTAGATAACTCCTACAAAATATAGTGTTGACTGTTGACTCCTACAAAAGATAGTGTTGACTCCTACAAAAGACAGTGTTGACTCCTACAAACCATAGTGTTAACTCCCACGAACGAAAGTAAACTAATACGTGGTATATTATTTAAAAAAAAGTCAAATTAATTTTTAAAAAGGCGGACAAGTGAATATCGGTTGCACCGCTGTTGTTTCCTCCTACCATACTTATTTAAATTATCAAATTTAATAATTTCCTCCAGCTTAAATCGTTAAATAATTAATTACCACGCAATATTAAATATTAAAAAACCAAATGACTTATGTATATTGGTAAAAAAATTAAAGTGATGTTAAAAAGAAATCAGTAGAAAAAAATATGTCTTCGTATTATCGACATTAAAAATAAAATATCTGTCTTACAATACATTATATATATTATGCATGTGTTCAAAATTTCAAATAAAATGTCGGAGTGTAGGATATTACCCTATTTTTTTTTTGGGTAAAATTTCCATGTAGGCGATTACACTGTCTTTGATTTACAGGTAAAAAGGTTATTCGTGTAGGAGCTTAAATTTGGCCGTAATTTTTTTTTTTTTTTTTGGGGGTAGGGGGGGACAAAGCCCACTGAAACTAAATTAGCTCCTTCCCTAAAATGTTTAAAGCAAATACCATTTTTATTATCGCATAATAATTATGTATTAAAAATGTCCTTTATAATATATAAAATATTAAAAATTGATCAATTTTTTTTTTTACTATTTACAACCTCCAAATCCAACAACAGCTACTGTAAACTAAACAGGTATAACATGGTTGTCTGTTAACTATTTAAATATTTTGTCATTAAAAATCTACGAGATTGATTTATATTATACAGTATCGACATAAAGTAGGTACATTAATACTAGGTATATTAATTCCTGGTATCATCCTCAATTCCTGGTAATTTTATTTGTGATCTTTAGCTAGTAATAATAGTAATAATATGCACTGTCGTTTCTTCTTTGGTATCGGAACTTATTTTACTGTGGATGTGAAAACCCTTACATCCTCTCAAATAGTCAAATGACAGTTCTGAGTATTAATGACTATGTATCAATCATCAGATTAGGATAAAAACGAGATTAATTTAAATATATACATTTTAAGTCATGGTTAAGTATTGGTTATAGTGTTATACTATAGTCTATAAATTGTGGTACAGCTCGACGCGCGTTAGCTATATGTGACTCTATATTTCCTAAGGTACCTAAGGTTCTTAAGGTTTCCTTAATTATAATATAGTAATACTATAAATTCTAAGTAATGGTTGCAAAGGAGTTTACATAAAACCGTCTATTCCACGAAAGAAGCTGTGAATATTGTAGAATAATATGCGTCTTACCTTGAGCTCAGGGTGTAGACCGTTGAGCTTCGAAAATGCACGTCTGTGCAATGAACTCGTTAGGGATGTCGTCGCCACGATTAAAGATATACAGGTTGCACATCGTCCTATAATTAACGGCCTTCAGATTGATTTACAAAATGACTATATAAAACAGCTGTTAATAATTAACTAGTGGCCAGTGCTATTAGTAGTGGCGCTTGATGTCAACACTCAACCATATGTGTCGACGTTTAGAACTAATTTTACACCTACATATCTATAATCGGTTAATTGTAATACTGCCGCTTGGAACCCACTGGTCAATTATTGGTGGTCATTTCGTATTTCACCTTATCAGTAGTCGATGTGCAACCTGTATATCTTTAATCGTGGTCGTCGCTCAGCACACCAATATTTAAAATGTAGATAAATATATCACTGTGATAATATTATGGCCAATAATCAGTATGGGTACACCTTAGATCATATACTATGGATGGAGCCATGCCCGTATCGGCCGTGTAAACAATTTGAAGCACATATAACCGACGATCTCTGACATTGATGTTTGAAGTGCGCATGCGCGCGAAGATAGCCGCCGCATCAACATCTGACTATGCGACCGCGACCGGTATCCTTACGCATGCGCACATCAAACATCAATGTCAGACACTCGCTTATATGTGCTTCAATATATCGAGGCATGGCTCCATCCATGGTATATGATCTAAGGGGTACACACTGTCTATAATATGGTTGTCACTTGTCATGTACGATATACTTATAGCGTCTATTGCTAGTTTATTATCTATGGTGGCGGCGAAAAAAACGGTTTGATTGAAAACATGAACTAATATATTAATAATATTATTATATATCTTAGTTCATCATTGAAAAGTAGACAGGCATAGGACGCGGAATGGCGGAACAAATTGTCAAAGCATACGCCCGTTTTTCGAATAGCAAAAAAAAATTCCTGGGAACTAGATCTACTGTATAGTAGGTTTAAAGTGTACTTCGTTATTGAGTAAATGGTAATGGATATGTTAAATTTTAATTCAATGATAAATCATGGCATATACATGAAAAACCAATTATGAGAGGATTAAGTGTGTCAGCCTTAACTATTAATGATTAATGACTAATGGTATTTTTAATTTTTTTATACTGTCATTACTCACTCATTAGCAATTGATTTTTATTTTAGTAATGACTAAAAACTATAATAAGGTAAGTATGTTGAAATTTGAACTATTTCTTTCGAAAATGTCGTAAAATCTCAAAACATATTTTTACTAAATAATAAATAGAGACTAGAGTGCTTAAATGCCGAGGATTATAATTTGGGTAGGTTTAGATTTTATTGATTTAGTTGTGGTAAAAATACGGCAATCGACGATTTTCAACAAAAATACATTCTAAATAATTTCTATTGCTCCATACACGTAGGCGCAAATTACGTTTGAGATTTGTGGTGGCTGAAGCCCTATACTATAACTTAAAAACAATTTAGGAAATGTTTGGGAGGGGGGCTGTTGATTTTTTTTGGGTGGGCTTAGTGCCTAAATCTCCCCTATTTGCGCCTATGTCCATTCAAGTATATTTAAAAGATCTTACCTGGACGTTGGTAGGAACAGTTTTCCGTCAATGAACACGGAACCTGAAAGCAACACGAACCAACACATCGCCAACTCTCCGGTACTAAAAAAATTGAGAAAAAAATTGTCACATTAAGCAAAAAAATTTAACTTAACATACGATCAATGTTCGGATGAGTAGTTTATTAGTTTTAAGCATTTAAAGTATAGATTAGCGGGGAGCGGTGAACAACATTTTAGCGTGTACCCCATAGGCGTGTACCCACTGTACCCTTGTGCCACTCTACTCCGCTCATCAAAACTTAAAAGTTTAAATACTTTTAAGTATAACTAATGAACTACCTACTTGTCTGAAAATTAATCTTTATAGATTGAAATACTCCGAATAATATTCTGCTTCGGTATATGAAATTCTAAATATACTTAAGAAATAGTAATAAAACCAGCCAAGTGTGAGTCCGACTCTAGGACGAAGGGTTTCGTACCATCATCAGCTATGTTGGCAACACTGATTATATTATAAATTCTAGGATTTTTAGTATTGAAGAGAAGTAATGCTAACGCGGTTCCTCTTCCGTCCCTCGATTAACTCGAAAAAAAGAATGAAAAAAAAATTTTAAAAAAAAAGGATTTTTAGTATTTGTTGTTATAGCATCCACGGAAATACATAATCTGTGAAAATTTCAACTTTCTAACTTTCATGGATCATGAGATACAGCCTGGTGACAGACAGAAGGACGAAGTAATAAGACCCTAAAAAATAATACTTTTTCCAGAATTGTTGTTTTAAAGTGTCATCAAATTATTTTCAAAAAAGTTGAGTTCGAAATAATGAGTGTAGACGCTTAAACAGTGGCGGATTTTCAATCCGTCGTGAAAAAGTTAAAAACGGGTTTTGGAGACACATCGCTGTCTATACGCTAATATTCGCGTTAAAACATAAAATATGGTTTTTTAAGGAACGCCTAGATGGCAGCACATTATACATGTTTTTTGTTAAATGAACAGATTTATACCATAAAACTATATTATTATAGTTGAAATTTAACATTTAATGTACACTATTTTTATGAAGATGCTAAATTGAAAATTGTTTAAAACTTGGTTGTCGCACTGGACAATTATTTAATCAATGTACATTTTATTTCAAACACAATAACAATGACGGCAACACCATAAAATTATAAGTTATGATGACGAATAATAATGGGTTAAGCATTTAAGGTACACAAATTACCGAGTCTGAAAGTATATTTTTAAGTTTTTTGATGATTTCAAATATTTTTACCAGTATTATATGTTAATTGTGTTTTGAGTAAAAAAAAAAATTGAACCTAAAATAATATTATGAATTGAATAAAAAAAAATTAACATATTTATGAACATTTAAATATACGTTTACAGTATACACCATGTCACTATAATAAATTCAAAAAAATGATTTAAACGTTCTGGAAATATTATAATAATTTAACTATTCAAATATAAAACAATCATTTTATGAAAGTTTCAGTTTCAAATATCTCTAATTATAGAATTTATGTAAAGGTATAGTTGCGGAGCCCGGAGGTAAGGTGTAGGGTACCTACACACAAGTTTAATGTTTCGGATTGTTTTGGAAATTTACTGATAATATTGTAACTTTGGACTTAGCAAGAATCACTGTTATTTTAGGCAGTATGAACTGTGAATAATTCATTATACACATATGCAATATTTTCAATTTTGTTAGTATAATATTGTGTACTTAGGTCCAAAACATTATTATTTTGTATAAATATTTCTTTAACCCTATCACACAAAATTTAGTGGGTATATGAATGCTAAAAAATAAATTAGGAAATAAATATTATATTATAGGTACACGTTATACAAGTAAATTTTTAACATCCCCTAAAGCTACCTCTATCAGGTAAATCTTCCGTAGCTGCACAAATATATTGGCATCGAACCCAAAAAATTCTGTATGATGGCTATGGGGTTCTGGCAAATGTCCGGCACTAACAAACTATTTGTTGTCACAAGTATAGGTATTAGGTAGGTAGGTACACAAACTATTGGCACAAGTCTGGAACGAGAAAACTGAAAAGAGGGTTAATGTGGATATGGACCAGTATTTATAACATAGAGTGTTCAATACTTTAATGATCTAAACTTGTATTTTAAAATATCTAAAGGGTTCTAACGTTTTTTTACATAGTTCCAATAATCTGGTCGTCGGGGACTTTGGAACGAGTGAAATTGTGTTATTGTATTTCACAATACTCATGTATCTATACCTATAAGACTATATTATGTAGTGGACAGTGGAGCCAGGCGAGTCAGCTATAGGTGAAAAACTGATTACGAACTTTACGATATTTATCATTGAATGTTAGATTAAGTAGAAAATAATGTTAATATAGGTAGACTGCAAGTACAAAAAAATCTAACGAAAGTAAGTTTTCGATGACGGTTGAAGCGTTGGAAAGCGACCTTTTTCCGTCCAGTGGGCAGTGGCAAAGTGGGAATAACCAAAAGAGTTGGGTGCACGCATATCCTCTGCTCAACCAGACACTTAAATCTATACCATGGTCCTTACAAAACATCAACTTTTGGTTACATCTTATATTCATATTATTATTATTTATAACCTCCATGCATGACGCTTAAAATAAATAAAACCATTTCTTTTATAAAGTATGGTTTTTGAAGTTAATAGTTATAGGTTGTTGCATAGATCCCTGCAATACCTATGCAGTGATCGATGCACGCAGAGGTATGACAAAAATAGTATGTGTGGCTCGTGCGGGAAGGAAATTTCAGTCTTGGGAGAATTGCAGCCCTCGTTTGCAGCTCGTGCGCCCCCCGTGACTGAAATAGCTGACTTCCCACCCTTGCACATATTGCAATATACTATTAGTTGTATATAGTGATTAGTGACATAGTGGTATTAAAATGTATATGTTTTCCAACTTCCATACTTACAAGTATAATACATCGTTGGCTTCGTGGTGCTCGTATCTGACAGTTTTGCATAAAGTGCGCAATGCGGAATCTCTGTAGGTATACAATGCTTCCAAACTCTGAAGTCCATAGTAAATTATTTGAAGATCCTATAAAACGATGATGAATATATTAATAGAAAGATGGGTTGTTATGACTAGGTAGTATATACATACTTAGCGGTTAGTGACTACTGACTGCCGACCGGGTCTATCAACGGTTCTGTGCAGTATAGGGTAGTAAAGACGGAGAGGATTTTAGGGATTTAACCCCCATAAGCAAAACATGAATAATGTTTTTTTTTTATGGAATATTACATTCAATGTAGGTAATAATCATTAAATATGCCGAAAAATAATTAGTGTTGTCATACTATGTTACATTTTATTACACAGTTGTGTATGCCTACGGGCAAAGTACTAAAGTTTTAACGTTTATACACAGATATAAGTGTACGTGTATTAATAGATTATCGTAATATCACAGAATAGATGAAATTCATCTATTGCACTTCATCTATTGTGTGGTAATATCGTTGCTCCATTCGCATTAAGAACGAACCTCGGCGGACGATTTGTGCGCAGGGGCGTGGCTTAATCACACACGTGGTTGATCGGTGGGGGTGACAAACAGGTGTGCCTGACCCCCGCCCGACGAAAACTGGTCACCGCCGAGGTTCTTTCTTAATGTGAATAGATTTTATCTACTTTGAATCATGGGAAGAAATTTTACTTAAAATGCGAAATGATGTTAGTGAAAAAAAATTTTACTTTTCAAAGCCGTTCAAAAAACATGTTCTGATTGGGACGTTGATGTTAAGATTTCACGAAGAGTTGGAAGGCAAGTAATAACTAATAAGTATACCCGTAGTAATATTGAAACAGACCTGCCTGAAGCATATTTTCGTGTTTCATTATTCATTCTATTTTTAGATTTTTTTACTGCCCAAATTCAAAGACATATTTTGTTAGATCATCAACAAATGTTGTCAAGTTTTCAATGTCTTTTGCCATCAAAAATAAATAATTTAGAATTCAAATAACGATTCGAAACTGAAATTATAAATTTGGTACATCGTAATGAAAATATTGTTCACTACAGTGAACAAGTTAGAACTTAGATTATGGTGGAATTATGTAAACCAAATTAATGAAAATCTTAAAAATGCCGATTTAGCTTTACATGTATGTGATGAAAAATATTTCCGAATGGACTTTTTCGACTCTTCGCCGTCTCAAAACCTATCAACGAAATACAACCTGAGAATCTCGATTAAATAGATTAGCAATGCTTAATATTTATCGGAATATTTAAATCTCAACAGACGGTGTACTTGATGAATTATCAAAACTATCAAAAGGAATAAATATTAAGTCGTAAAGTGTTATTAACCGTACAATAAATATTTTTTAAAATTTAATTGTGCTATGACCTTATAAGAAGAATACAATCGTACAAACATTTTTTATAAATGTATATTCAATGACCTCAATATAAATTGTAACCCCCCCCCCCCAATTCTGTGAATGCCACTGGATTCTGGACACAGTATACGTACTGATTTCCCAAAGAAACATTTTCGAGACACCTATATACTTGTGTCCAGGTTCGGAATAAAATTGAAATTGTTTAATGATAGGTAGTTTTCTTTCACCGATTTAATAAGATTCCACTAAACATAAATATTTAGATGAAACAAGGGAACCAGAAGAGCACAAATCAAGTACAAGCAAATAAATATTAAATAACCATAATTTATTACCTGTTATATGTATTTTAAAATAGCAGCTATTTAACAAGTTGACCGCCATGAGACCCTTTATGGGCTCTCACTGATTTACTCCCTGACGCCATGACCATTTCGATAGGTTTACTTAAACTGAATTAAACAGTTTTGCAGGAAAAACATTAAAAAAATACTAATAATGATATTTTGCAAACTTGTGATACCTACTGAAGGTGGCAACACTATAGATTTCAAATCCGATAATTGCGACTCTAAACGAGGTCTCGCTGAAAAATCGATTTCTATGAGACCCCAAAAAGGGTCTCAATAGCGATTTTGAGTAATGTACCTGAGACCCCAAATAGAGTCTCATTTCGTGTCTGAGAAACTTGAAAAAAATCCGTGCAGGTCAACATGTTAAAGCTATAATACTATTTTTAGTGACAAATTTAATAGTTTTAAAAAATAAAAAAACAAATTAAATATGTCAAAAGTAAAGATGTTACTAAAAAATTGTAAAAAAAAATGGAAACTATAAAAATGTAAGCTTGTTATTACTTATTAGTATATAATATAATATATAGTAAGTGATTGTTGTAATTGAATAATAATTAAGTAAAAAATGTGTATAAGTACTATTATTAATAATTTATTATACTGTATACAACAGCGTTTCTCAACCTCTGGTACGCGTACCACTAGTGGTACGCAGCACGCTCGTAGGTGGTACGCTTAGAAAATCTCCCTTTATAAAAAAAAAATTTGCATGGATCAATATTCACAATATATATTATTTGGTTTTTTGATATTAAATAATAATATAAATAACAATTTAACATATTTCATTTTATTTTTAGGAATTAAATGCTTATAATTAGGGAACGGACTTTATTGTAATAAACAAATCAAAATATGTACATAAATATGCAAAAAAAATATTAAAATATGTAAAAAAAAATTAAAATATGCATATTATAAGTTACAATAATATTAGCATAATTATGTAGTTCCTAATAAAATTAATTTCGATATATGTTGAATAACGTATTCGGTATTCATTTTTGAAAAGCAAAAAAAAAATTGTTTGGCCAAGTGGTACATGAAAATTGTCAAACTGTGTAGGTGCCAGGTGGTATAAAAAGGTTTAGGACTTGAGAACCGCTGGTATACAAGGTACATCGTACATTACCAGCCAAACCTGAAGAATACCTCTTTGGCCTTACATTAATTTAAAGAAAGTCGTATAGTATTATGAGAACCACACATGATAAAAAAACTATAAAGTATATGTCTTTTCTCTACTGTACAATTTTAGATTTTGAGCGTAATGTATTGATCTTACAATGATGTGTTTTGTTTTTTTGTTGTCTGTATATACGACTGTACACGATAAGTAGGTGAATAAATGCTTCAATTTGAACTTAGTATATTTTCTTACGGGAAAGTGAATTTAGTTACAGCATTTAGGAAGTTAAAATGGAAAATTCCTAGAAGTTTTCAAAAGTATCGAGAATCGGGAAAAACAAAAACAGAATTAAGGAAAATCGGGATTTTTTACGTAACCCAGATTTTAACGAAATCTTTTTGTAATAATAATTGTTGTTAATGTTTTAGTAAAAATGTATAAAATGTTCAATTTTTTATAACTGTACTAAGGATTGAAAATGTAAAACAATATTTCTCATTAATATAGTTAATACAATAACCAAAATATCTAAAACATATTATGTAATCACTGTCTTATTAGATTTTGAGTGAAACGATGAATGTATTGATTTTACAATGAAGTGTGTGTTATTTTATTTTTGTCTGTCATCACGTTTAGGACAGTAAAAATGCTTAGATTTTCTTCAACAGTATCTTTTCTGATAGGAAAGTGAATCTAGTTGGTACTTTGGGGGGGTCAAAAGTATAATTTTCAAGTAGTTTTCAAAAGCGCTGGAAAAAAGGTTTTTGGTGCAACTCTTAAACAAATGACCGTAGATACATGAAATTTTTACTGAATGTATATATCAGCATTTTCTATATTCGATAAAATTTTCAAAATATTATGATTTGTTTTGAACTGTTTAGGAACATTTTAATTTTCCATTTTTTTTCTAAAAATATCAATAAAATTTTATTTGTTGGTTTAAAAAACTTGAAAATTTAATAAACGGCTCCTAGTATATTGTTTCAAAGGCAAATGAAAAATATTAAAAATCCTTAGTCACAATATTTTTTATAAGCATCTAAAGTTCAAAAATTGACAAAATATGGAAAAATCACGAAAATTATCAAATTATTTTGAGTTAAACATTCGTAAAAATTGTTCCTTATTTTGTTATAATTCAAAAACGAATAACTGTATATGCATGAAAATTTGACTGGACCCTCATATTTTCATTGTCTATATACCATACAATTTTGAAAATATTTTGACTCTTTTTGAGCTGTTTACGGAAATTTTCAGTTTTCAATTTTCTTAGTTTTTTTTTCTATAAATATCAACAAAGTTTTATCTGTTGGGCCAAAAAGTGCAAAAAATTAATACCAGGCTCCTGATATATTGTTACAGTATCAGTTGAAAAATATTAAAAACATAGGCACAATTTTTTTTTATAAGCATTTAAAGATCAAATTTTGATCAAAAATGAAAATTTATCACATTCAAAATTGAATAATAATTTTGCAGTTAAAATGTATAAAATGTTCAACTTTTATAGCTAAGGATTGAAAATTTAAAACAAGATTCCATGTAAATAGGTTATATATAAATTACTTTATTCACCTTAATATCATCAAATATACTTCGTAATATCATAGACTGACTGATCGTTTTCGCTCAGAACCGTTTTTCTTATATAATGATATTATATAATTGTTTTCAAATTTAACACTATCCATTACACATTACAGTGACCCACTTGTAACCTATTGTACAGCAGAGTGACTTTTTTTTATAAATATATTGGGTTCAAATTTGGACAAAATTAGATATTTTAACGAAGAATTACGATTTGAGCTATTATTTTTGTAATATAAATTTATTATTTATTGATTCTTGAAACTTTAAAAGTATATTATTATATATTACAATCATACAAATATTTTTTAATATAATTTTGATTCAACCTACTGTATTAATGTATTATATACTAATGTCTATTAGATAGTAATAAATTACAAGTTACAAAATAGTAATAATATCATAAAATAATATAAAATATACTTAACAATATAGACTGACAGACGACTTAGCTCAGAATCGTTTTTCGTATACACTTATTTGATATCATAGAATTTAAATTTAATACGTTGATTACAGTAACCCACTCGACATCTACATGCCAGTACTATAGAGCAGAGCAGTATACACTTACCAACCTTTTTTATATTGCTACTATTTACTAAAGCACTTAATTAATTGTATTAGTATACCTATTACACTATTACGGTAGGTTGATTTTAATTTTTGCCTTATACATTAAAACATTCAAAATATAAAATATCAAGATTTTTGATGGAGCAAAATTTTTCTGTACTTATCGAAAAACAAATAAAAAATTAAAAAATATAAAATGGAAATTTAATATGTTCTGATATAAACACTTGGTGAAAATAATATCATGTGTCTAAGGTTATTCGTTTTTGAATTACAATAATATAAGAGAAAATGTAGTTTGTTAAAATCTGGTTTGGCCTAAAAATTCCCATTTTTCAACGAGAAAAGTACTTATAAATTTTTACTTTAAACCTCAATTTCCCCAAAATAAAGACCTACTAGATTGGCTTTCCTACCAGAAAAATATTGACATTATATATCTAATAATTTGTCCTGCTCCAAAAAGTACAGAAAGAAAAATAAAAAAACAAAAAACCACTTCATCATGAAATCAAATCAATACCTATATTCTTTGCTCCGCTCAAAATCTAAAAAGGTTCTCTGCTGTACAGTAGGTTACAAGTGGGTCGCTGTAATGGATAGTGTTAAATTTGAATTCAATGATATAATATCTCTCTATAAGAAAAACGATTCTGAGCGAAAACGGTCAGTCAGCCTATGATATTACTAAGTATATTTGATGATATTATTGTGTATAAAGTAATTTATATATTAACAAAATATATAATAGGTATATAATGATATAATTTGTTTTAAATTTCAATCCTTAGATATAAAAGTTGAACATTTTATAAATTTTTAACTACTAAATAGTTATTAAATTTTAAATATGATAAATGTTGTCAACATTTCAACTTTTTAAAGTTAAAAGTTTAAGCATTTATGCTTATAAAAAAAAATTGTGCCTATGCTTTTTTAATGTTTTTCAACTACTATTGTAACAATATATCAGGAGCCTTACATTAAATTTTCACGTTTTTTTGCCCAATAAATAAAACCGTATTGATATTTATAGAAAAAAAAACTAAGAAAATTGAAAACTGATAATGTTCGTAAACAGTTCAAAAAGAGTCAAAATATTTTCAAATTATTGTGGCGTATAGAGAATGAAAATATAAACATTCAATAAAATTTTTATGTATCTACAGTTATTCATTTTTGAATTACAACAAAATAAGGAAATCCCTACATGAGAAATCGAGTGAATATGCAATGTTGTAAAAATTTGAATTTCAAACGCTCATAAAAATTTAATTTCACTTTTTTATGGCATTTTTTTTTTCTGATAAAGGTAGATAATCTTATAAGGAATCTTGTATTATATTTTAAAAACCTTAGATTTAAAAAGAAAAATGTTTACGAATTTTTAACTCAAAATAATTTGCTAATTTTCGTGATTTTTCCATGTTTTGTCAATTTTTGAACTTTAAATGCTTATAAAAAAAAACTGTGGCCAAGGATTATTAATATTTTTCATCTGCCTTTGAAACAATATACTAGAAGCCTTTTATTAAATTGTCAAGCTTTTTTAACCAACAAATAAAATTTTATTGATATTTTAAGAAAAAAAACTAAAAAAAAATGTAAAATTTAAATGTCCCTAAACAGTTCAAAGCAAATCATAATATTTTGATAATGTTATCGTGTATAGAAATAATAAATATTAACAACCAGTAAAAATTTCATGTATTTACGGTCATTTGTTTTAGAGTTACACCAAAAACCAAAATCCATTTTGTGAAAACCCGATTTTGAGGAAAAATTCCCGTTTTTCCTTAATTTTTATGTTGTTTTTCCCGGCGCTTGTTTAAACTATTGGGAATTTTAAATTTTGACCTCCCTAATGTACCAACTAGATTCACTTTCCCATCGAATAAGATAATGTTGAAGAAAAACCAATCAGTTTTACTGCCCCAAACCGTGATGACAGACACAAAAATAAAAAAATAAAAAACACCCATCATTGTAAAATCAATGCATTCATCGTTCCACTCAGAATCTAAAATATAATCGGTGAAGACTTTTTAAATTATTTCGATTGCATGGATATAATAGATTAAGTTATAGGTATGCCGCAAAAAACATGTTCACACGATTATATTATTTAGGTATGGTATATCGTATATAGTTATTATATAGGATGACGATAGGTAGTTCGTTGGACTATAAATAATACACGTTTATACTGATTAGACTCCAAACTTTAGATGGAAACAACCGTAGGAACGACGTCGGGAAAAAATTTAAAATGGTCCCTCGTCGACCAGCGAACCAGTAACGGTAAAGTAATAATATTAGCGTTATTATAGCATGTTTTAAATATTGTTTAAATTACATAAAACTGTTAATTTTTTAACCATTATAATATCGTTTATAATATGTACCTATTGATATTTTATATCCACTACCTATAGTTATAATTATTATAACAAGTACCTACCTATATTTAATCGCTATACATTCATATAGGCGTAATAGGTTAATTTATGCATCGATATTAATAATTTTATAGGCTATAGGTATTATAAGTATAAATAGTATAATAATATGAACAAATTACCTACCTATATTATATTTTAATATTTTTCGATATTTTACAATAGGTACTGCAGTATTTTGTAATCATTGCAGAAATTAATAGTTATTATATTTATTTAACGCAAATTAAAATTGATAATAGTAAATAAGTTACATAGTACACTAGTGACTAGTGCAGTAATGCAATTCAATAGGTTTATCGTGTGCATACCTGCAAAGTTCTCCTGTCCGGATGTCTCTTGAGGGCCTTTAAGAAGTGAGGATCACTGGTCATATTTCTGTTGGTATATCATTGCTGCTACGGTGTTTTTTTGATATCCATCTATGATTTTCAGCAAAATCTGAAAATATTCACGATTCGTCAGTATTATGTTGAATAACTGGAAATCGTCCAAGTAAAAATAACATAGAAAAAAAAGAATTATACACGTAATATATCAAATTCAAAAATGTGTGGGAACATTCCCATATGTATGTATTATATAGGTATGTATTGCAGCAGTGTACGTATATATACAGTTGCAATAAGTAGACGTTGTTTAGGTAGGTAGGTAGGTACCTACTCATTAAAAACGTAACCCTATAAAAAAATAAGTGTGAGACATCCTAAAGTTATATAATTTTAATTTAAAAAATAAAATAGAGGTATGCAATTGTTTTGACAAAATGTATAATATAATATTATATTATATTCGTACGAATATAATAATACATATTATATTCTTACCAACTTCACAATTACCCGAAAAACAGTTTAAAATATTTAAAATAATATTATATTAAATCCCGCATGATCAAATCCCCTACTGATCACCTAAATTATCACACTAAATACCTACTTGTTTTACTTAATATATTATCCATGAATTCGATAGATAATATTGTGTTGATGTATTTTTTCAGTATTTTTTATCGTAATATCATATTTATTTTTTAATCGAATAATGATTTAATGATTTATACATGTGATGTTATTATTATTTTGTATAAATTTTTAATCTTGAAGACTAGAACTGTAAATTGTGTTGAGAATTTAAGCGTGAATGGAATTTTTTTTTGCAGTGAAGAATACCATATTATAAAGGTGCCTGGTGCCTACATGCGTATTGCGTATATTTAAGTAACTATTAACTATCTTTATCATTTACAATACCCTACTTGAATTTTACCACTATTTGGCAGGAATTAAGGTTAAAATTAGCATCACTGTTGATTGGAATCTTCTAATAAACTTGTTTAAAAAATATATGTTATTTTTTGTCTATTGTTTATATTTTTTTTATTCCAAGAGTTGTATATGCTTTTATAAATTATCTGTGGACATAATATATGTATAGAATGTTGTCGGTAATTAACATTAAACCTTGACATTCGGCTAACTGATTTATAAAGGCACTCACTTTCGAATAGAGTCTTAACTAAAGTAAAATATTTAGTGTATAATATATTAATATAGTTAACACTATAGTTGAAGGCATATAATTATTTGTTCTAATGGATTTCTTCCTCAATTTTTTTTTTCCAATTAAAATAAAATGATAGCTACATAATATCATTTAAAGTTCGAATGAAGAAATATTATATTTTTACTACAGCACTCAACACAAATAGTTGCATTGAGTAATACCAATCTTTATCCCCTTAATATAATAAAATACATATAATTATTATGTGATTGTAAATATTTTAATTTTATGTTATTGGTTTTTGGTTACCATAATGTATCCAACCACCCCACCCCCAAAAAAATTCTACCATGGCACCTAGGCGTCATAAAACCACGTTCACCACGCCACTGCACGAACAGGACCAACATAATCTAAACATATTTGACAGACTTGTGGTTAACTTAGTGTTGCTTATGTATGCCTTATATTAATTTGTAGACTATTCGTATTTTATTAAATGATACCGATTATTTATATTTTATTTTACCCTTAAAACATTAGTTCTATTTTAGAAATAAAAAACTAATTTAATACTTAGATAATATGCTTAATGACATTAATGTTTTAGTATAGTATCTATTAGCAATATCCAAGTATCTCACAGATAATATATTGTGTATTTGTGTAATCTGTTGTATACACATTTACAAACTGGTAGTATGTAAGTATGTAACATATTTAATCAACCATTAAGTTCTATGCGTTTTTTTAATGACTTTACATCATTACATGTGAAATACAGTAAATATTTCGTAATCATTAAAAGCAATTTCAACTTTTTTATTATACGATTATAATTGATCGTACCAGCGTCAAACTGCCTTTTTAGCAGTTCGAACGTGAAAATTGTAATATTTGAAAATTATGGGTAGTTTATTATTACATTAAAATCAGTATGTGCATAATATTACTGGGGTGAACGGGATGAGAATATTTAGAATATTGTATCTAAATGTATTTCCTTTATTGCATAAATTTGATTTCAAATCAATTTCCAGAATGGATTTGATTATACTGAACATTCCCGACTTTAATCATCATTTTGAATTAACTTTCGGGAAGACTTGGCCTGGAGGGCAGAAGAATTATGCGTAAGTTTCCCCTATATGGTACTCCTCAACCATGGCATACGGATGTGACTATAATATGAGTAGGTATATGACTGTATATGAAGGTTATACCTAAACGCAATACGTATAAAATAGTTGTATTTTAGTAGTATATGGTAAAACAAAATTGATAAATGTCTGTAGACTGTAGCGAAGTGCAAAGTTAATAATGCGGCTGTTATTTTAATAATATAATATTACCTCGTATAATATATATGCTACGTAGTACAGTCATCATTTTTAGAGGGTACGGTAAACTGTGATTTGTTATTTTTATTATCCACGTGACCTGCACGTGTGAAAGTAGTATATACAATAAAATCACTGATTTTTGTCAAAAAAAAAACTTTCTGATTTAATTTAAGTTAACTCATTAGCTTTAATCATTAAATTATAATAAGTATAGTATAGTGAAAAGAATTCACATGAAAATCGTTTTATTTTTTTCAACATTAAATATTACCTATGTTTTTAAAAGAAAATATCGAAAAACAGCAATAACTAAATATATTATTTACTCGGTGTATATAATAATATGTAATGTACCAGTATTTTATTACAGAACTATTTCTACAATAAAAATATTATTATATTATTGCGATAGGTAGTATGCGTGACTGATTATTTTTATTATTCTTTTAATTACTTTTTCCATTTTAATACAAGGACAAGGCCTTTTATTACGAATTATAGGTTAAGCACTTAAACAATAGTAATACAATGTATAATAATGTATAATATGTGTAATGTGTTAGAATTATTGTTTATTATTCTATACTGCAGTATTTTTGTTTAGTTTTGTCGGAAATCACATAATGATCATAATATTATCACATTATAGTATAATATTATATAATTTGAGCTGCATCAGATATTATAATTTATAAACGGCAAACTAAATCGGCGACTTTATTATTTTATTTCAATCTGAAAGGTTTTTCATTTTTTTTTCTTCGCTACTTACAATTTGTATTTTAAATCAAAATTTACGACTAATTACTGATAATGTGTTTGGGTTTTGACACAAAACTTTTGCGACGATAGGTGGGTGCATAACTCAACGCGCACGTACTTATACGATAATACAATAACAACACTCGTGTACGGTGATATTTTAATGTAAAGACTGTTGAGAGTAAGAGTACCAATATTATATACGTAGGTACTTACGGGCCTAGAGTTTAGAGACCCCGACACCGATCGAGTCGAACCCGTTCGAGAAATCTGCTAAACGGATGCTGATAAAGAGTATTGGACCTCATTCCACATGCAGCGGGCTATCACGTGGATAATATATTAGTATATAATATTATTATTATAGGTATTCGGTATATATAGGAACGTGCTTTTTTTCAATACACGTTGGTTTACATGTGTATTTCGACGATATATTTTTCAGACAACATAAACATAATAATATAATACATTGAGTATAATAATTTTTAACGTACGCGTTTGTTATACGAGTTGACGAAATATTCCAAGTTGTCCTCCGAATACGTAATCTGTATAGATACCAAATAGGTACAGCGGACGCCGCTTATAAGACTCACTTTGGGACCAGCACAATAGTATAGTCTATTGTAGTCGAAGTTAGAAAAAAAACAAAATATCTATGAATTTTTTTTACGACATATTTTGTTTTATTTTTTCTACTTAAATACATACACACTATATATTACTTATTATTTATTAGTGACTAAACGAAAGAAATATGATTAGGATAGTAATCGTGAGTGTATTTATAACTTATACAGTAATTACGATAAATGTTAAATGCGACAAAATTTTTTGTATATACACACATCATTGAGCATGAATCGAAACCAGTAATAATCTACAAAAATATGTAATTGTTAAAAACCAATTTATTTCAAAAATTGCAACCAACAATTTAATTTTCTTCAATTTTTTTACAACATTTGAGTCTTATAACCGAATATTTTTAATGTATTTGTATACGTCCGGACCACTTTGAGTCTATTAAGCGACTAAACCTTATATCCACGAGTCTTGTAAGCGGCATCCACTGTACGAACTACGAGGTGATTCGCCGAGCATGCGGTCAGCCCGCTTTTATCCTTTAATAATTTAAAGTCATTAATTGTTATATGTATCTACCAAATATAATATATACCTCGATAATAATGTCCTTATTACATCAAATATAAAATATTTTAGTCCAGTATAGCCGTATGGGTAAGTACTAGATTGCTTAATTATTATGCTTGGACATTTTTACAAACTATAAAATTGAAATAAATTAATATTTATTGCTATAGCTTTAAATAATATTAGCCCCCATCTTATATATGCTAAAACCTTAAGCTTCAAAAACTACTAATTTTGATTTAGAACTTTTCAAAAAATGCATTTACAATAAAAAAGGGTGGTTTACATTTCAAAAAATATAAGTTTTATATAGGCACAGGATACTGCAGCTTAAATTTAATATCAGAATTTGAATAAATAAATTATAAAATTAAAACATGGGGGTGAGCTTGCTTGGTGAATCATCCTAACTGTATATTATATTATATATTATATATTTGATGTTATTTTTACATCCTATACTAATTATAGGTAGACCTCTTAAAAAATACACTAAAAACATATAGGTACCTATACACACATTGCTGTTAATTTTTCATTGTATAAAAGTGAAATTCCTCACAGCAGCGAGTCGGAAACACTCTTTGTTTTTACGGTAATTACACGGTCTCAAAACATTGGTCGACCGTTATTAAAACGTTTCCCGTCGTGTGCAATCGTGTGTTTGTGTATACTATAACTGCTGCAACATTCACCGTCTCAGTTCGCCAAACACACTGAGAATATTTTCTTTATGAGTTCTCAAGCATTTCTATGTGTACGTTATACTTAGGTATATCGTATACATAAACACACACACGCACACTCGTCTTTACATGAAATTCCATCCCTATACCACTGGCACCCTTTGAAATTATGACTTTTTCAGCGAGCTGCCACTCGCAAGACCCTATATGATATTATCTACATTTTTTACCTATACACACCTACACTTACACGACGAGAGAGATGTTTCGAAAACGTTTACCGACAGGGTAAAGATACGACACGGGTCGTCAAAATTATCAAAAGGCCTATTCAAGTATACCTTCTCTTATCTTTTTTTAATACGTTCCACGCTCAACGATCCTTGCTATTTCCACGAAGTATTATTTTTTTTTTACCATCATCGTGAAAAAAAACCCGTAATATTTTGAACTTTTTTAACGTTGTTGGTTTATCGTGTTTATACGCGCATCGAACGATTTTTTTCCACCCGATACAATTTCACACACACAGACGCAACATCTCTCTCGGTATACATGTATAATATTATTATAGGTACTCTATAATATAGCTAGGTAAATATATATTTTGAGAACTATCATTTACGACTTATGTGTATTGACTTAAGTTGCACGAGCAGACACAGTGTTATATATATACTGTAGTCATGCTGATATTTTGAATGAGTGCACATAATAATTATTGTGAGAGTCGATTTTATTACACCTATCTGACCTATGTATAGGTCACTATGTATTTCATAGTGTTCTACACGTCTACAGTTACACGATATAATATAAGTGAGACCGTGGTAGATTCTCTGTCCACCGTTCACGACATCCTATAAGGTAGTAGAACTTTGGGGTTTAATTCCCAAAATGTTATTTTATAATTTTATTATTTTTATTTGGCTATACACTAGCCAATTATCCGTAGAATTATTTTTCGCAGTGGGTACGTATCATTTATGTTAATGGTGGTTGGGTAATGGATTGTTATACCAATATCAGTTAAGTTTAAAATCGGAAAAACAAAGGCCCTAGGTATACTCCTTTGTGCCATATATTATGTAATATGTATTATGTATATAACTAATAATTTACAAAAATTAGAAGTCAATTATGAATTCATAATAATATTAAAATTGTATTATTGTAAATTGTAAGTGGTTTTAAAAAAATTTACTTAGAGATGAAAAATGTTATACATATATTTGAAAATTAAAAAGGTACAAGACGCGCATAACAATTATTTGAATAGAACTACCTATATATATTATACTAATATAGTAATATATATATTATATAGTATAGAATTGTATATAACTTGAGAGGGAATAGGTAGGAGACATAATATTACATAAATATTGTTTACTTAGTTATAGGTGCTTGGAGTATATTTTTGTAACGTAATTTATTGTTAGTTGTTACAATATAATAAATATGGACTATAATTAACCTCACCGGTGGTCAGTATTATTTTGAGTACAACATCTGAAATATATAACTTACGCTTCATTGTAACGGAAGATATCGTAATTTTTTTTACCTAAAAATATTTTTCGCAGCCTCGAAATGTAAAATTACGCATTGGTACTTGTATGCATTCATTATTTTTTATAGCTGTAACCTCAACACTTATTGAGTATAATATATTTTATTAATGTTCAAAAAATGGTGGTTCAATTTTTACATTGTTATCATTAACAATTGTTCGCCTTATAGTTTCAGTCTTGTTAGTTGTTGGTCTGACCACTCTGACCGTAAGTGACGTGAGTACAATCCTGCCTGTCCGCCCGCAGTCGCTTAGTATTTAACAAATAATCGATATTAGTAAAAATTATGAATATTATTAAATTATTAATTTTATTTTACCCAATAGTGTATTTTACATTAAATGTATACTTAAAGTAAATTTTAATATTCGTGAGTAACTTTTATTATATTGGTTTTAGGCTTCAGCATGACGTCTATACACAAGATTAGAAGCCATTTCATGATTGGTAACACACCCTATTCACTTTATAGCGTGATTCAGTATTATAAAAGATTACCGTGTATAACATCTATAGAGGAACCCTTATACGTGTATATTTTTCGTACGTCGAAAGAAAAGAAATATTGGTGTAGTTAACTATATACATTATACCTATACGTTTTTATCTTTACCGAGAAATTTCGCCAATGAAATGTAAATAAGAACCATTTGGGTAGGTATGAAAAGTAATATAGAAAATGAGTAAACCCCCAATACTTACAACAACACAATATTATGGTCTATGGACAATATTATAAATGAACCAGTTATAACATTTTGCATTTTATGATTATAATGTGCTTGACACGGTTTGTATATAATATTATGTGTCCAATTATTGAAGATCTTTTATATGTCATTTGTCCTGCTGTCTCAGTTGATCCTTTTATAAATCGAAACTGTTCAACGTGCGTTCGTTTATATTTTACAATATTCAATATTATATTTGGATATTATCTCTGAAAGAGAATAGAAAAGTCTTTTCTGTTTTTATATTTATTCATTGTTATTATATAGGCTATAGGGTATTTCACAAAACTGTACAATAATATTGTTTATCGCCTCCCACCCTAATATGGCCTTTACTTAAAGGTCTTAAACTTAACAATGTCATTATTACACGATTTACATTTTATACCTATAAGATCATACAATAGCTTTAATTATATTTACAAATGCTGTAAAAATGATAAAATATTGATATTTTTAAAATGTATTAATAAAATAATGTAAATTGATTCATTTTCACTTGAAGTGGGTATTTGATAAAAATAAAAACTTCAAAAAGAGAACAAAAGTTTGAATTTGAAATGAAATTAATGAATGCAGTTCAAGGTTCAACCTTATAGAAACATTTCAATAGGTAGTATGAAGTATACTTAAAACGTATTTTATACTTACATTAACAGTATAACTGACGTTGTATTTATAAACAATATATTATGTAGGTACTACAATTTATTATTTAATGATATACTTAGGTATCTATTTTCAATGAAATATATTTTTTCAACAAAATGTTGATTTTTTTTAAATTAAATTAAATATTATAATAGTAATGCTCACGAGGCATTGTAATTATATAAACATTTTTTACTTTATGCATTTAAGATTTTTAAAAATACCAACGGGACGGGACGAGCGGCTAGTGCGAAACGACGACGACAACGACAAAGTGCTGAAGACGAGACCGTACGACATAACGACAACGACGTCAGCGGCGGCGCAGACCAAAAACTGCACTGAGCGAGCTAAGGCAGCCATATATTTGCGCTTGAGGAATCGGCCGGAGGAGCTTAAGACTCGGCCGCCGGGATTACCGTTGGACGAAAACCTGAGAGTATCGGTGGACCGCACCGTAGAGATCCTGATATACTCTCGCAGTTTTCGTCCTGGAATCCGGACATTGCCGCGTCTGCGTTCTCCGTCGCCGAGGAATCGAAAACCTGAAAGAATCGATGGACCCTCCGGGGTTTTCGTCCTGGCAGGAGGAGTCGCGCACCACCGGGCCCTGAAACATTGGAACGGTTTCCGCGGGTCCGTCGGCGATGCTGACGTCCCATAGCTCAAATATACAGTTCCATAGCTCGCCCGTCGTGTTCGGCAGTCTCCGCCACCGCTGCCGCCGTCGCCGTTACGAGTCGCGTCTTCGTGCACGCGCCGCAATCGTCTTCGATTTACAGCTAGCCGCCGCCACGAAAACCGCCTACCGCCGCTGCCGGGCGCTCTTTGGATCCGCCAGTCGATGGTCTCGAGTGTCGAAAACCGCGCGCGAGTTCGCGACGCCGTCGACCACCACTCGTCTTTCCGCGGAGTTGACCTGCAAAGAACGTATATAGGGCGACTTACCGCCCGAACACAATGTGCTCTTTCACGTACCGCTCCCCCGTTTTGCCGCCGTCTCGTCTGGCGTTCCTCGGCCGAGGTACGGGGACGGGATTCTGCTGGCCGTTATTCCCATCGGTGGCCGCAGCAGCAAAACAGGCGTCCGGCCTGTTTTATGCCTACCAACGCCGTGGATGTGCGCCTGCCTGCCGCTCGACCACCGGAACAATAGACACTGTACAGTCCAGACATCCGGTTCTCCCGATCTTCGCCGACCTTCTGCAGTCGGCCTCGGCCGGCCGCATCCCGGTGCAGTCCACCTCTTCGTTTCCGGTCTTCGCATGGTCGCTGAGCTCCAGAAGTGCAGGCAGTCCACGCTGCGGTTAGGACTGTCCGCAAGACTGCGCTTCTGAAATCTCCTGGTATTGGCCGATGACAGCCGCGCCGACCATCGACACGACGTAGTCGCTCAAATCAGCTCCATTGAACTCCTTCTCTCCGTCGTCCATGACTCCGGTTTTGGTTTCTGTAGACTGTAGAGTATAGTAAGTTGTTCAACTTTTGTCATTAGAGCTGCCACAACGTCCATCACGGAAACGTTAAAATAGTCCCTGAGGATCTCGTCATCGTGGCATAATGGTGTGGAAAACTGTATTTGCTACTCGGGAATGCAGAATGTTATGACCGCAAAACTAGAAAATCGTCATAGGCTGTCGTCGAAAAATACAAATATTTCCCAGACGACGGCGACGGCGATGCCGATAGTTGTTGTTATTATTCTGGCCAGCGAGTACGCACACGATATGTTCTGATCGGTTGGCGTTAAGATTTCGTTTATTTTTTCAAATCCATTATTATTGATACCTATATAATATTATAGGTACCTATATATACGCGTATAAGTAAAATAATATAATATATTATAATATTTTAACGAGTAATCGTATTTCGGTTTGTATTTGGTGTACTTCAACCATAGGCGCAAATTGGGGGGAGGCTAAGCCCACAAAAACCTAGGACATACAATTTTGAAATGCTATATTGCCTTTTATTTGTTTGCTTGCCTTTAATATATTCAGCCCCCCTCAAGTCAAAAGTTGAAATTGCGCCTGTGTGTAGTATACTTTCGAAACAAGAGATGAAAATTGACGAGGGTTCTGACCACTGACTATAAGAACTGGTAATTTAAAGGAACTTTAAAGTCTTAAAAATTTTCATATTTGTTTTCGTTTTATAATTGCAAAACGAAAACTAAATACAAAGTCTTTGAAATGTAAGTTTCATCAGATTTATATTTAAGTTCTGTCCAATATCTATTATGTCCTAATTATTCAGGAGAGGTAATATTATGATTTAAAACTCTAAACACTAGTAGTTCTTTATAATAATATTAAACACAAGAGATTGACAATATGACAATATCACATAAATAAAATAGTATTATTTTCACATTTAAAATGTTACGTTACTAAAAATATACACGTAGGTAAGTATAATTTAACTAGACTATAGAAGCCACTAGCTCAGTGGCGTACCCAGGATTTTAGAACTGTGGGTCTGCCTTACTTACGAGAGGCCACTGTGTAGAAACTTCAACCAACTACCTATATAGTTAGGTATTACAAAGTCACTCTGGGCTCGCGATTTACCTTATTAGTTATTTACATCACATTTTGATACCAACGTTAAATATAACTATATCACATATTTTTAAGTAAATTGTAAAATTTACTTACAAGCTTTAATAGCTATATTAAATTTATTTTTATTTTTATTTGTTGCATTAAAATTTATATTCAATTAAAAAATTTACCTGACATATTTAAATCATTAGAAGAAATTATACAAATTTATTATTTTATTTGTATACGTATATTTGCAGTATATTTATTTTATTTTAGTTTTCAATGACTGATTTCATTTTCACAAGAGATATAGAATAGGTGGTTCTAAATTCTAATACAATAGAAAAGTCAAAAATAATACATGAATAAAATGTATATTTAATAATACCTACATGAAAATAATAGTAAAGAACTAGAACATTACAATCATTTTCTGCGCTTTTTCATTAGTGCGAATTATGTACTTATTACGTTAACAAAATCAATGGTTTGAGCTATGTTGCTTTCTATGCTCAATATGGCCAAATTTGATAGCCGGTCTTCAGTCATAGTTGAGCTAAGGCATGTTTTGAGAAGTTTTAGAACGCTAAAACTTCTTTCTGCAGTTGCACTGCTGACTGGTATAGTGTATAAAAAATTTTATACAAAGTATATAAATTTGGATATGAAGAAACCATGTCTCGTGATATCATGAATTTTCAATACATCATTTAATTTTAAAGGTCCAGTTACTCCAGTTTCAATAGTTTTGCCATTTGTTGGTAAACTAGATGTAATGAACGGTATTCCACTTCTATATCAATTTCATCTATGTCAACTTCATAAAATCTTATATAATATCTATTATCTATATCCAACATATTTTTATACTTGTGTTTATCGAATTTTAGGTACGTACATTATAAGTTGATAAGCTTAAACACGATTTCGTACGCGTTATTTTACTTCAATACTCAGTCTTCACAGCTGTATATACGATATACCCCTACATCATAATAGCAGATCTTCGATATTTTGAAGGGGGGGCACATATAAATTGTATAATTTTAATTTTAATTAATAATACATACATATACATACTATCAATAATGATTATAATAAGTAATAATTAATAGTTGGTAGTATTATCCTTATCAACTGTATGTTTCATTTATATGATACTCGTAGTTACATAACAACTTGTCGACAGAAAATTGACAAGGGGCACGTGCCTCTCCTCTAAATTCACCACTGTACATAATTTTTTCAAATAAAAAAATGTTTATATAGTTTGCCATTTCGAGGGGCCACATTTAACTGGGAAAACAACTGTGGGTCAGCTGACCTCCCAAACCCCCCCCTGGGTCCGCCCCTGCACTAGCTGCATTCCCATAGGTACCTTATGGCTTATATACTTGCCGAGAATAGAATAGAATTTATACATTTTTTTTTCTAAATCGAACATTATTAGCAAGCACTAATTATGTCACATACCTAATATGTTTTACCTATAAAATTATGAAGAAGGGGTAACTAAAAAAAACAATGTAAACAGATAAGTCAACAGACAAGCTGACTAACCTACCCCGTGCGCACACTTATGCCTGTATAGTCTGTACCTATGTGGCTGTATGTCTTGTATATATATAACCATAGGTATGTTTTTGTTGTAACACCATGTTTTAAGCATACAATTGAACGTATGGGTTTTAACATTATATTTTGTTGCATGACCATTTTATGTGAAAGACTAACCAGTAAACCGTAAACTGAATGAAAAAACATTTTTTTTTCTAGTTGCCTGCATTATCAGTTTAGTTCCATAGAACGCTTGGATCGAATAAAACATAATATCTACTGCCTATTGTTAATGATAATTTTTGAAGCATTACAAATAAGCTATAAATTATTATCATATTTTTTGTAAAAATATTTTATTGTATCCGGGGTACTATTTTTTTTATAGTATACTTACTTATTCTAATATCTGTTTGCATAATATATTCAGTAATAATCTGTTTAATCGAGTTTTTCTTATAATTAAATATTACAACGATCACTTTACAATGATCATTATACTATAACGAACTATAAAATTATAAATTATGATTTTATTTCCGATTGTCAATCATTTGAATGGCTAATGGTTGTATTGTCAGGATCAGGAACAACGATACCTATATATTATAGATTATAGACAAAAGAAGATAGAAAAATAACCATTTTAAGAATGACATATGGGTAATTACTACACAACAGTACAACACTATATTACATTAATTACAATATATTATATGCTTGCGTAGTTGCATAATATTATGGTCACATCGTTTTTACTGGACACGTTTAGTTTTTAAGACATAGAAATATTAAACTATTCAGATGTTAATGTAGATAAAAAAAACATAGGTGCCCAAATTAAAGTATAATTCGATAATAAAACGAGGGTCAGCAGACTATATAAGTGTAAACCGAATTAATAACTATTAATTAAATGATATTATATTAAGCACAATTTATTTTTATCATCACAAGTAATAAAATTGTAAAATGTCGTTAACATTTTGTAAAAAGTAAGAACTATGTTTATTGTTTTACGATGGTCGTACAATCGTACTATAGTTGTCGGTAACATTAATTTTACATTCTATAGTGTTCTTCAATATAGTCCACTATTTAATATATAACACATGGTAGTTATAGGTGCATATTACACACCTATAATAGGTAGTAGGTATTGGTATTCTACTTATTTTTTAAATTCGACGTAGGTAGGTATTTATACTGTAATATTAATAAAGGTCCATTAATACGGTCGCTATGCTCAGTAGAGGTCAATATAAATATATAATAATATTGAAGTGGCCTGATATTTCACAAAACGCTTCGAAAACATATCAAAAAAGCTAATTGAATCGAATATAGCTGTAAAATATGTAGGTTACGATCTAAACAAAAATAAAAAGAGTAATAATAATAGTTCCGTGAACCGATGACATTTTTATGTGCGTGGTTCGTATAAGGGAAATCGTTTTCATTATAATAAAATTCACATTTTCTTATAGGACGGCTACTATTCAGATATATACCTACATATATACAAAAAACCAGTTTCCAAAACGATGTTAATAAAAAA